AAACTAGATTCAAAGAGCTACAACTTTCGTTTTTGAATCATCTCAGAATTCATTGTATATTGAGAGATACGAGCCTCCGAAGTAAGACCTGCGCAACAGAATTCTTCTTCTTCGCGAACGCGAAGAACAAAGTCCCAGAAGCCAAATCCTTCTTCGCGAACGCGAGGGGACCCCCGCGGACGCGAAGAACAATACCAGATACCAGCTTCAGCTATTGCAAAACAGCCCGAAATGATCCGAAACCACCCCGAAACACACCCGAGGCCTTTGGTACCTCAACCAAACATGCCAACATATCCCATAACATTATTCAAACTTGTTCCAACCTTCGAAACGCTCAAAACAACATTAAAACACCAAATTTGCATCGGATTCAAGCCTAAGAATTTCAAGAACTTCCAAATTCCGGTTTTGATCAAAAACCCAACCAAACCACGTCCGAATGACCTGAAATTTTGCACACACGTCATAAATGATAGAACAAGCTACTGAAACTTCCGGAATTCTATTCCGACCCCTATATCAAAATCTCGCCTATCAACCGGAGAATGCCGAAATCTCAATTTTGCCAATTCAAGCCTAAACCTTCCACAGACTTCCAAAATTCATTCCGATCACGCTTCTAAGTCCCAAATCACCTAACGGAGCTAACCAAATTATAAAAATTTCGATCCGAGATCATATACAAACAAGTCAAATCTTGGTCAAACCTTTCAAATTTTAAGCTTTAAACTGAGAATTGCTCTTCCAAATTCATTTTTTGATTAATCCTGAAACCAAAACCAATGATTTACATAAGTCATAATACACCACACGGGGTAAATCATGCCCGAGAACTGGCAATCAAAGTGCAAAAGCTCAAAACGACCGATCGGGTCGTTACAAGGGTATAGATTCTTACCTTCAATATGAGGACCTTCTTAATAATCTTCAAGCATTAGCAAGAATTGATGGATATTAGTTTGAAGTTTGATCTCTTTCTCTAAGAACCCTCTCCCTCACTCTAGAAATATCAGAAAATAGCTCAAAATGGTGTATGATATGTGTTTTTATCGGAATAGGGTCGGGGTTTAAAGATTAGAAAATAGGAGCCCCGACACGGATCTGCAATCGCATATTATGCGGTCCGCGAAATGACTGCAAAAAAGTGGCCCTGGGAACTGGGTTGGTCTGCCTCACTCTTCGGCCGTTATGCGGCCCGCAGACCTGTTATGCGGTCGCATAATATGCCGCAGAACTTTCCTCTGCAAAAGTCCAAGGACAGATGTGCGACCAAAGTGCGGCCGCAAAATGGATATGCGGTTGCATAATGGACCGCGAAAATGACATCAAAATTGGCCAAAAGACTGCCTCACTCTACGGCCATTCTGTGGCCCGCAGAATGCGCACTTCTACAAAACATTTTCCTTTAACTCTTATCGTACTGTTCAACAATCTCTAACACATAATCCTAACTTAGCACCACAAAATTCCGGCTTTTAGGAAGAATTTTACGAGGCCTTACACACATCTACCTCAACATCCTCATTTTTCCTACTTTCATCTTCTGGATATGTGAGTTCTTAACAGGCCAATACTCAGCCCCATACATCATGGCCGGTCTAACTACCACTTTATAGAACTTACCTTTGAGTATCGGTGGTACTCTCTTGTCACACAGGACTCCAGATGATAACCTCCACTTCATCCATTCTACCCCAATACGGTGTGTGACATCCTCGTGGATCTCCCCTCCCCTCTGGATAACCGAACCAAGGTACTTGAAGCTGCCTCTAGTTGGGATGACCTGCGATTCAAACCTCACATCCACGCCCATTTCCCCCCGGCTCAACTTACACTCCAGGTATTCCGTCTTCGTCCTGCTCAGCTTGAAACCCTTAGACTCAAGAGCCTGCCTCCAAACCTCCAGTCTTTCGTTAACACCGGCTCGTGACTCATCAATCAGAACTATGTCATCGGCGAATAGCATGCACCATGACACCCCCCCTGAATATGGTGTGTTAATGCGTCCATCACCAGGGCGAATAACAACGGACTGAGCACAGAACCTTGGTGTAACCCCATTACAACCGGAAAATGCTCAGAGTCGCCTCCTACTATCTAAACCGGAATCTTAGTCCCATCATACAAGTCCTTAATCGCCATACTGTAGGGAACCAACACACCTTTTGCCTCCAAGCATCTCCAGAGAACTTCTCTCGGAACCTTGTCATATGTTTTTTCTAGGTCAATAAACACCATGTGCAGATCCTTCTTCCTCTCTCTGTACAGTTCCACCAACTTTCTAACAAGGTGTATAACTTCTGTAGCAGAACGACCTGGCATGAACCCAAACTGGTTGTTGGATACAGACACTGTCATCCTCATCCTCGCTTCAACCACCTTCTCCCACACTTTCATGGTATGACTCAGTAATTTGATACCCCTATAATTATTACAACTCTTGATATCACCTTTGTTCTTATACAATGGAACCACCGTACTCCACCTCCACTCATCCGGCATCCTTTTCGCCTTAAAAATAACATTAAACAACCCAATCAACCACTCCAACCCTGCTCTCCCCCCACACTTCCAAAATTTCACCGGAATCTCGTCTGGCCCGGTCGCTCTGCCCCTACTCATCTTACGAATAGCTCCCACGACCTCCTCAACCTCGATCCGCCTGCAGTACCTAAAGTCACGGCGACTCTCGAAATGCTCCAATTCGCCTAGCACAATATCCCGATCCCCTTCTTCATTCAGAAGTTTATGAAAGTAAGTCTGTCATCTCCTCTTAATTTGGGCGTCTTCCATCAATACTATACCATCTTCGTCCTTGATGCATCTCACTTGGTCCAAATCCCGAGCTTTTCCTCTCTTTCAACCTGGCTAAATAAACAAATAAATGTACTTTGAAATTGTGAATTAAAATATTAATAAAGAAAGCACAGAGATAAATGTTGCTTAGATTCTAAGGGAATATGAACCTACCAATGTTGACTAGCTGAAGTTTATACTCCCAAGATTACGTGAGTAAAAAATTGTTGAAACCAACAATTTACAAGTAAATAGAAAACCAATACTTTAATAGGGAGAAACCAATACTTTTATCAATTGACAATATAATTAAACTGAAAAGAGGGAATTTATTTTAAAGAGAGGTGTCAGATTTAAAAACGAAATCGTTTTAGCAAGTAAACTTTTTCCTGACGAGCAAAGTATGAACAATGTACAACCACGGGTTAGATTATTAGGTACAGGTCGGCTGAATACAAAATTTTTTGCTTAAATTCTATAATTATAGTAAAAATTTATTAATTGTGTAAAAATATTTAATTGTAAAACGATCTATGAGTTCCATTGCAAATTCATACTCCCTCCGGTCCACTTTAAGTAATTTTTTGGCCTTTTTTTTTTGTGGTCCGCAATATTTGATTTTTTCAGATTTCAAGAAGGAATTAACTTTTTTTTCAAATTTACCCTTGGAGTAAAGAGCCTAGGAATTGTTATATTTCCAATGAGCAAATTAAGGTTAATATGGTCAATTTCATTATTAATTAATGTTAAAAGGTAAATTCCTTAATATGTGTAAAAAGAGCCAAAAAATCACTTAAAGTGGACCGGAGGAAGTAACTCATAAACATTAAATCATATGATTCCACCTATATATATTCTACTTATCGTTAATCAACTTTTTATATAGACACAAAGAATGATGATTATGAGAAAAGCAGGTTTTAGTAGCTATCTTTAATTGTCCACCATTGTTAGTGTCTCTTTCTAGCTCTATTTCCCAAATTTCTTTTTACTTGCCACTTGTCCAATGAAGCACGTTTAACATGAAAATTTTAAAGTACACCCTTTTTCGTTTCTTTTATTACCGTACGTTTATCTTACGAGGATACTTTTTCACCTTTATAACAAGTTAATTAAATTTAAAACGACAAGAGACTTTCTTTTTCTTTTTTCTTCTAAAATTTTCAGTCCACTTGAGTTACAGCTAATATGACACTACGGCAGATGATTGTGCTAAATCTGGACAACAAACTCTGTGAAAATAAAACAATGATAAACAAATTCTTTGAATCACAGGGGTGCACATGTTATTAGGTGTTAAGATTTCGATGCTTTGTTGTCAAATTTGATAGACTATTAAATTTCGATTTATAGTCAACCACATAGGCAAATTCAGACGCGAATTTCTATGGGTTGAGCCTTTACGATTTTTAATATTAAATATATTATATTTTAAAAATTATGGATTCGGACCTGTCAAAATTAAGCCCTAAGTCTGTCATGATTGAGCTCATCATGAGGGTCGAGATCAGAGATGAAGAAAGAAGAATAAGAGAAAAGATAGAGAGAGAAAGCTCAGCTCATTTCTTAACCAACTGAAATGAAATGTATTGTACATACATATATAACAAACTAACCGACCTCTTACTCCTAACTATGAACTAACTACTTATGTACACCTTCTAGAATTGTACCAATTAAATAGCCTTAGGTACAACTACAATTAAGCTAATAATTTTTACACCCCCCCTCAAGTTGAGAGTGGAAAATATTTTTCGTTCCCAACTTGGATACCAAAACTGCATGTTGTTGGTGTCCCAAAACCTTTGTCAAGATGTCAGCTGGTTGCTCATTACTTCCTATGTGTGCAGTCTTGATTAACCCCTCTTGAATCTTCTCCCTTATGAAATGAAAATCGATTTCTATGTATTTTGTTCTTTCATGGTAGATGGGATTTGCAGCAATTTTGTAAGGCAGCTTTGTTATCAATACAACTCCATAGGCTCTTTAATGTCTATTGTTAGTTCCTTCAGCAAATCATTCAACCATGTCAACTCTGCCACTGTATGTGCTATACTTCTGTACTCAGCTTCATCTGAGCTTCTCGAGATGGTAGTCTACTTCTTTGCCTTCCATGAAATGAGAGAATTCCCCAGTTTAATACATAACTCTGTAATTGACTTCCTGGACATGGGACATGATCCCCAATCTGAATCATAGAATCACTTAACTCTTTCTGCACTATTGTTTGATATGAGAAGTCCAAGTCCAGGTTGATCCTTGATGTATCTCACAACATGTAATGCAGCCTCATAATTAGAATTCTTTGGAGCATGCATAAATTGTCTTATACTTTGTACAACATATGCAATGTCAGGTCTTGTGATTGTCAAATACAGAAGCTTGCCAACTAGTCTTTGAAAAAGACTCCTGTCCTCCAAGATAATGTCCTCAGTATTCTCATTCACAATCTTATCAAGTTCTGTGCTTGTAAGTTTCAAGTTTTGTTCCATTGGTGTCTTCTTGGGTTTTGATCCTGAGAGTCTTCCTCTGAGATCATCTCCAAAGCATACTTCCTTTGAGACATAAAAATGCCTTCTGCTGATCTAGCAATTTCGATCCCCAGAAAGTATCTCAACTCTCCAAGATCATTCAGCTTGAAGTTCTGATGTAAAGATGCTTTGGATGTATTAACCTCCTCTTGATCATTACCTGTAATAAGTAAGTCATCCACATAGACAAGTATGAGAACAAATTTTCCATTAGTTGTTTTAGTAAACAAGGAGTAATCATGTCTGCTTTGATGAAAACCAGATTTGAGAAGTGCTTGTGTGAGCTTCAAATTTCACTGCCTAGAGGCTTGCTTTAAGTCATAGATGGATTTGAGTAGTCTACATACCCTATGCTCTCTCTGCCTACCAAATCCCTGAGGCATAGACATGTAGACTTTTTCATGTAAGTCACCATTTAAAAATTATGTAAATCCATTAGATAGATAGGCCATTTTCTAAGTGCAACAACTGCTATAACAGTTCTCACTGTGATCATTTTGGCCACATGTGAGAAGGTGTTATGAAAGTCAATCCATTCCTGCTGGGTATAGCCCTTCGCTACTAGTCCGGTCTTAAACCTTTCCACTGTGCCATCAGCATTGTACTTAATTTTGTACATCCATTTACATCCTCTAGGGATTTTTCCAGGAGGCAGATTCATTACTTTCCAAGTGTTGTTTTGTTCTAATGCCTCAATCTCAAGTTTCATAGCCTTGAACCACCTGTCATCTTTGACAGCTAGAGAAAAAGAGGTTGGTTCAGTGTCAGAAGAAAAAGAGGCTAGGTATGATTGAAAAGTATGAGAAAGATGAGAATAGGAAATGAACTGATGTATAGGATAAAAAGATGAAGTGGAGGCAGAAGTAGAAGGCAGGGGAGGATGCACATAGTCAGTCAGCCATATAGGAGGTTTAGAGATCCTACTTGACTTCCTAACTTGTGTGGGATTGGTAACTGGGACAACACTTGAGTCTGGGGTTACAACATGAGTGTCAAATGATGAATCAGCAGGCAAAGAAAGTGCAGAAGAGGAGGAATGAGTAGGAAAAGAAGGAGAGCTAACAGGGGAATTAGAGAAAGAAGCAGGTGACTCTGCTGAATCATTTGAAGGGTCAAGTGTAATGACTTATGGTTCAGTATTGGTAGAAGATTCTGGTGCTATGTTGGAAGAAAGAAAGATATCTGAGACAAGGTGACTGGGATTTGGATCAGGGATAACTAAGAATCTGTGTTTAGGATGTTTGAAAGAAAAGTTCCCTTCTTTGAAGAAAACATCCCTACTAACCATGAATTTATTAGTATTAATATCATATACTTTATATCCCTTTTGTGTTGGTGCATACCCCATGAAGGCTCCAGGAATAGATTTAGGATTGAATTTATCATGGAAATCAGTCTTTGTGGCATAAGGCACCCCATTGTTCTCATGTGATCAAAAGAAGGAGGTTTTTCATGGAACATCTCAAAAGGAGATTTTCCTTGTAGCACAGAACTAGGAAGTCTATTAATGATGTAATTTGTTGTTAGATTGCAACCACCCCAGATTTTCAGCATACTTGTCTCTCTTACTTGGCCTTTCAATATCATCAAAACCTATGTATGCTCGAGCTTCCCCTAGCTTAATCTCCTCAGTTGGAGTAGGTTTCTTCTTCTTCTTCTTTAGCTTTTCTTTCACCTTTTCTTTCTCCAAAATCTTCCTCCTTCTTTCTTTCTTTATTGCTATTAACTCCTCATCTAACTCACTATCATCTTCGTCAGGTATATCTTCTAAATCACTGTCACTAGAGAACAAATCTGATAAATTCACCTCTGTATTTTCACCAGCAGCATCTAAATCAGTTTCACCATTTTCAGCTTGTGTATTTTTGTAGTTGTATTTACTACAGCCTCCACAGAATGTTCAGCATAGTGTTCTGCATTTATATCAGCTAAATCACCATCTAAAGTTGCCCTAGACTCATTTTCAACCACTTGTGGCCCACAGATAAGAGCAGTTGGGACCACCTCCACATGAGGTCATCAATAAGATGACAAACAAATAAGTCTAATACCCCCTCTTTACAGTGACAGCCAATATCATACAATTGTTCGTCATTTTCAATTAGTACAAACTTTCTGACCTAGAGTTAAATACATAAAAGTCCCGAACAGAAACATACCCCATACTTCTCGTATAATACTCAAGCTCAAACAAGGATAAGTGGTCCTTATCTATAGGAAACTCTTTTAACTCACTTTCACCAACGTATTTGGCGACAGGAGATTCGATAGAAACTCCACCGTGGTGAAAACCAAAAAGAATATATTCTGACATATCTTCGATTTTACCTACAATGAAAAGGAAAAAATGAAAAGAAAGACAAAAGTCAGAAGATTCGAAACAACAAATGAAAACCCTAAATTTCCATCTGAAAATTTCAAAAACATCATTGAGGAACAACACCAAAATAAACTACAAAAGCAATATTAAAGCCGGTAAATCGACACTTACCAGTATTTTAAAGCACGAACGTGAAGGACCAACACTGTAAGAATCGATATACTGTAAGAATCGATCGTCTGTAAGAACCCGACGAAATTTCGAAAGGACCAACACTGAAATTTCGATTACCCAGCCTTCGAAAAAAAGGACCAACACTGAGAACCCATGGTTTCATCTCCTAGGGCTTGTGATTTTGGTTAACGGGGTGAGAGAAGATCGGTGAATTTTGAGAATTAGGTAAAAAGTGAAAAGGTTTATTTACTGAAATTGGGTGTGGTTTTTTTTTTATCGGGTGGGTTTTTTTAACGGGCACGGGTTGAGATTTACTGGAAGGGAAAATATGGATGATAAATCCAAGTGGCAGTAAATAATTCGTTAGCTTTACACGTTGGCAGCGGTTATGAACACGCGCCTGAGTCATAAGCACAGGTCAGTGTTTTGTGTTTAAATGGCATATGAGATAAGGAATTGGAGTGTTAAAATAGAAAAGGTCTGAGTTGAGGTGTCAAAATAAAAAACGAGGCCAACTTAAAGGGCTGCTTATAGGTTTTGCCATAAATATTCTAATCAATCGGTTGTCAGGATTTCGTTATATCTCATAGTGGTTGAGTGTGGACATTTTTGAAAAGGATATAAATCAGTTCTTAAACACAAATTGCTTAGATTCCATTAATTAATTTTCAGATTCAACTCTTAATCACGTATAATTATGAGGAATTACAACTTTAGAAAATAAAACTGCAAATTAATTATACCTATACAATTTCTTTAACTCGTCATGCAAGCACATAGCCTACAAATCATTTGAGCAGTCTGGCTACAGGTCGGCCGAATTCAAAAAAATTTGCTTAAATTCTATAATTGGTAAAAATTTATTAATTGTTTAAAAACATTTAATTGTAAAACGATCTATGAGTTCCATTGCAAATTCATACTCCCTTCGGTCCGTTTTAAGTGATTTTTGGCCTTTTTTTTGTGGTCCGTAATATTTGATTTTTTCAGATCAAGAAGGAATTAACTTTTTTTTTTCAAATTTTTCCTTGGAGTAAAGAGCCTAGGAGTAGTTTGTTATATTTCCAATGAGCAAATTAAGATTAATATGATCAATTTCATTATTAACTAATGCTAAAAGGTAAATTCTTTAGTATGTGTGAAAAGAGTCAAAAGATCACTTAAAGTGGACCGGAAGAAGAAAGTAACTCATAAACATTAAATCATATGATTCCACCTATATATATTATACTTATCGTTAATCAACTTTTTATATAGACACAAAGATTGTCCACCATTATTAGTGTCTCTTTCTAGCTCTAATTCCCAAATAGCTTTTTTTTACTTGCCACTTTTCCATTACAGAATATCCAATGAAGCACGTTTAACATGAAAATTTTAAATTACCCCCTTTTTCGTTTCTTTTATTACCGAAGTTTATCTTACGAGGCTACTTTTTCACCTTTATAACAAGTTAATTAAATTAAAAACGACAAGAGACTTTCTTTTCTTTTTCTTCTAAAATTTTCAGTCCACTTGAGTTACAGCTAATATGACACTACGGCAGATGATTGTGCTAAATCTGGACAACAAACTCTGTGAAAATAAAACACTGATAAACAAATTCTTTGAATCACAGGGGTGCACATGTTATTAGGTGTTAAGATTTCGATGCTTTGTTGTCAAATTTGATAGACTATTAAATTTTGATTTATAGTCAACCACAGAGGCAAATTTAGACGCGAATTTCTATGGGTTCAGCCTTTACGATTTTTAATATTAAATATATTATATTTTAAAAATTATGGATTTGGACCTGTCAAAATTAAGCCCTAGGTCTGTCATGATTGAGCTCATCATGAGGGTCGAGATCAGAGATGAAGAAAGAAGGATAAGAGAAAAGATAGAGAGAGAACGCTCAGCTCATTTTCTCAACCAACTAAAATGAAATGTACTGTACATACATATATAACAAACTAACCGACCTCTTACTCCTAACTATGAACTAACTACTTATGTACACCTTCTAGAACAGTACCAATTAAATAGCCTTAGGTACAGCTACAATTAAGCTAATAATTTCTACACTCCCCCTCAAGTTGAGAGTGGAAAATATTTTTCGTTCCCAACTTGGATACCAGAACTGCATGTTGTTGGTGTCCCAAAACCTTTGTCAAGATGTCAGATGGTTGCTCATTACTTCCTATGTGTGCAGTCTTGATTAACCCCTCTTGAATCTTCTCCCTTATGAAATGACAATCGATTTCTATGTATTTTGTTCTTTCATGGTAGATGAGATTTGCATCAATTTGTAAGGCATCTTTGTTATCGCAATACAACTCCATAGGCTCTTTAATGTCTATTGTTAGTTCCTTCAGCAAACCATTCAACCATGTCAACTCTGCCACTGTATGTGTCATACTTCTGTACTCAGCTTCATCTGAGCTTCTCGAGATGGTAGTCTACTTCTTTGCCTTCCATGAAATGAGAGAATTCCCCAGTTTGATACAGAACTCTGTAATTGACTTCCTGGACATGGGACATGATCCCCAATCTGAATCACAGAATCCATTAACTCTTTCTGCACTATTGCTTGATATGAGAAGTCCAAGTCCAGGTTGATCCTTGATGTATCTCACAACATGTAATGCAGCCTCATAATGAGACTTCTTTGGAGCATGCATAAATTGGCTTAGACTTTGTACAACATATGCAATGTCAGGCCTTGTGATTGTCAAATACAGAAGCTTGCCAGCTAGTCTTTGAAAAAGACTCCTGTCCTCCAAGATAATGTCATCAGTATTCTCATTCACAATCTTATCAAATTCTGTGCTTGTTAGTTTCAAGTTTTGTTCCATTGGAGTCTTCTTGGGTTTTGATCCTGAGAGTCTTCCTCTGAGATCATCTCCAAAGCATACATCCTTTGAGACATAAAAATGCCTTCTGCTGATCTAGCAATTTCGATCCCCAGAAAGTATCTCAACTCTCCAAGATCATTCAGCTTGAAGTCTGATGTAAAGATGCTTTTGATGTATTAATCTCCTCTTGATCATTACCTGTAATAAGTAAGTCATCTACATAGACAAGTATGAGAACAAATTTTCCATTAGTTGTTTTAGTAAACAAGGAGTAATCATGTCTGCTTTGATGAAAACCAGATTTGAGAAGCGTGACGACCCAAAGGGTCATCACCTATTTCCTCATCCATTCCGTGCTTTCGAGGCCTTAAAACCATATTTTTACTTGCCTCGATTTGCGTGCGCAGTCCGGACGCGTAGCCGGAAAGCTTTTATGTTGAAATATGTGAATTCCGTGAAAAATTTGAAGAATTTTGATATTAATATGATTATAGTTGACTTTGGTCAACATTTTTTGTAAACGGACCGGACCCGAGATTGGACGGTCTCGGAAGGTCCGGAGAAAAATATGGGACTCGGGCATGTGCCCGGAATCGAATTCCGAGGTCTAGAGCCCGAGATATGAATTTTTCCGTGAAATTGTTTATCTGAAATTATTAAGGAAAATGGAAATGAAAATTGATTAAAAGACTATGGTATCGGGCTCGTATTTTGGTTCCGACAGCCGGTACAAGTCTTAAGTATGTGTTAAGCGCTTTCTGTAAAGTTTGGTCGAAATCGGACGTCGTTTGACGTGTTTCGGACTATAAGTTCCAAGTTTGAAAGTTTATGAAGTTTAGAAGAAAAATCATGTGTTTTGAGGCTTGATTCAATGATTTTGATGTTATTTTGGCGATTTGATCGCACGAGCAAGTCCGTAGGACGTTTTTGAGGTTGTATGCATGTTTGGTTTGGAGCCCCGAGGGCTCGGGTGAGTTTTGGATAGGCATCGGATTGCATTTCTCATGTTTTAAAAATCTGGTATGCTGGCTTCTGCAATTTTCGCAAATGCGAAGGGAAGACTCGCAATTGCGAGCTCGCAAATACGAGCATTGCTTCGCAATTGCGAAGTCTGGGAAAATGGGGCACTGTCGCAAATGCGATCAACACTTCGCAAATGCGAAGTCTGGGGGAAAGGCTTGGGATCGCAAATGCGATCCATTGGCTCGCAAATGCGAGGTGGCCCTGGTCGCAAATGCGATCGAATGTTCGCAAAAGCGAAACCTGGCCACCAGACATGGGTTCGCAAATGTGAACTAAGAATGTCGCAATTCCCAGCCCTGTTTTGTTCGAAATTGCGAACCATGGTTCGCAATTCCCATATCCGAGGCCCAGCAAATTTTATACTTAGTCGAATTTTCATCACTTTTCACCATTCTTTCAAAACCCAAACACCATAGGCGATATTTCAAGAGCAAACTTCATCCCAAATCATTTGTAAGTTGATTTTTACTCAATTCTTTCAACTTTTAACATCATTAAACGTGTTTTCCACTTGAAATCAAGGATTTTCATGGGTGAAATTGGGGATTTTGGGTGAAACCTAGGTTTTCCATAAATTGGGGAGTTGGACCTCGATTTAAGGTCCGATTTCAAAACAAATTATATACTTGAACTCGTGGGGGAATGGGTAACCGGATTTTGGTTCGAACCTCGAGTTTGACAACGTGGGCCCGGGGGCGATTTTGGAATTTTCGGGAAAAAAACTTGGGAAACTCATTTTTTATGCATCCAAATTGATTCATATAATGTTTATTAAAGTAATTGAGCAATTTGTGATTAGACTCGAGCGAATTGGAGGTGGAACCGCGAGGTAAAGCAATAGTTGAGGATTAGGTGGATTTCAAGGCTTTGAGGTAAGTGTTTGGTTTAACCCTAGCTTGAGGGAATAGGAGTTGAGTCTTGTTGCTAACTGCTATGTGATCGAGTACGATGTATAGGCATGGTGACGAGTATATATACATTGGTGTCTAGCATGACCGTGAGTCCTTATAATGTGATTATCATGAACTTATTGTGAATTTCATGTTTATTGGAGTATTTCCATATATTGTGAATAACATGTGAATGGTGATATGATAATTTGATTCCTAGGAGCATTGGCTCGAACTGTGATATTAATATTGAAAGTATATGAAATGACTTGATTCATTGAGGAGCGTCGGCTCCAGTTGTAGAACGAATTGCGAAAGTATAAGTGATAATTGAACCTCTGGAGCATCTGCTCGAGTTGTGAAAAAGAATTGTGAAGTAAAAGCGAGAAAGATGAGAGATCATTATGTTGCCCTCTTGGCTGGCTATTGTTGGGTTATGATTCCTCTGCATTGTGTTCTTAACGGATACTAGGGTCGCTCAGGTTAATGTTTCCTTGTGTCATATGATGACTATAGTTATAGATGGGTTGGTTGGGTGTGGTAGTCGGTTAGATATAGCTGAGGTGGTCAAGTGTGGTAATAGGTTGGTTATAGCTGCGGTAGTTAGATGTTGGAACTAATGTGGTGGTTAGATGTTGGAACTAATGTGGTTATAGTAATCCCCTTGCCAGAATATTTGAGATGATGTTTTGTTCCCTTACTGGGAAGTCGTTATATTGTTGTTTGTGACGGAATAGGAGATAAGAAATTTCTTGGAGCTTGGGCTCCAGTGATATCGTGAGATAAGAAAAGTAAGAAAGAGAAAACGTTGTTGATTATTCCCTTGCCGGGACGTCTGGTTGAACTTGTTGGATTCTTTCCCTTGCCGGGATGTTTGTCAAATGTTTACTTATTTTTATGCCCCTTAATTGTGACTGTTGTTTGGGGAGTCGGACTGTTAAATGATATTGAGGGTCGGGTTGCACGCCGCAATAATGATATTAAGGATCGGGTTGCACGCCGCAACAATAATATGTGAGGGTCGGGTTGCACGCCACAACAATGATATTGAGGATCGGGTTGCACGCTGCAACAATGATATTGAGGATCGGGTTGCACGCCGCAACAGTAAAAGGTGAGGATCGGGTTGCGCGCAGCAACAATGATACATGAAGTGGCAATTGTGGAGCGGGTTGCACGCCGCAACAGCTATTGAGGCTATGTATTTGTATTTGAGTATTGATTCCTTGTTCATTGTGAACGTAAGCTGTTTTAGTTGTTACTCTGGATTGCTGCTAATATTGTATCTCCCCTTAGCATGTCTCCCCTCCCATGTTGTTAATTACTTGGTATTCGATTCCCGCTGTATAGTTATAACTGCACAGGTTTATGTGATGTCCAGTCTAGCCTCGTCACTACTTCGCCGGGGTTAGGCTAGACACTTACCAGCACATGGGGTCGGTTGTGTGATGCTACACTTCTGTGCATTTTTGCACAGGTCCAGGTTTTGAGGAGCAGCACCAGCAGTAGTTCGGGAGCAGACTTTCCTATTCACGAGACTGAGGTAGCCTTGCAGGCGTCCGCAGGCCCGGCGTCTCTTCTTTATGTTTTCCTTTTGACTGTTGCCTCATTGTTTTCGAGACAGACAGCTGTTATATTTCTTTCAGACCTTTGTATTTAGTTTATTCTTAGTGGTTCGTGAGTAATGTGACACCAAATCTTGGGTAGAGGCTATTGTTGACTATTCCGCATTTTGATTCAGACTTATAAATTAGACTTCCGCTATTATTATTATTATTAAATTCCACGTTTCTTATTGATGCTATGGATTTTTAACAAATTTATTTATTAATGAAAGTTAAATAAGTTGGCTTGCCTAGCTACCACGAGTAGGCGCCATCACGATCCCGATGGTGGGAAATTCGGGTCGTGACAAGAAGTGCTTGTGTTAGCTTCAAATTCCACTGCCTAGAGGCTTGCTTTAAGTCATAGAGGGATTTGAGTAGTCTACATACCCTATGCTTTCTCTGCCTACCAAATCCCTGAGGCATAGACATGTAGACTTTTTCATGTAAGTCACCATTTAAACATTATGTAAATCCATTAGATAGATATGCCATTTTTCTAAGTGCAACAACTGCTATAACAGTTCTCACTGTGATCATTTTGGCCACATGTGAGAAGGTGTTATGAAAGTCAATCCCTTCCTGCTGGGTATAGCCCTTTGCTACTAGTCCGGTCTTAAACCTTTCCACTGTGCCATCAACATTGTACTTAATTTTGTACATCCATTTACATCCTCTAGGGACTTTTCCAGGAGGCAGATTCATTACTTCCCAAGTGTTGTTTTGTTCTAATGCCTCAATCTCAAGTTTCATAGCCTTGAACCACCTGTCATCTTTGACAGCTAGAGAAAAAGAGGTTGGTTCAGTGTTAGAAGAAAAAGAGGCTAGGTATGATATAAAAGTATGAGAAAGATGAGAATAGGAAATGAACTGATGTATAGGATAAAAAGATGAAGTGGAGGCAGAAGTAGAAGGCAGGGGAGGATGCACATAGTCAGTCAGCCATATAGGAGGTTTAGAGATCCTACTTGACTTCCTAACTTGTGTGGGATTGGTAACTGGGACAGCACTTGAGTCTGGGGTACAACATGAGTGTCAAATGATGAATCAGCAGGCAAAGAAAATGCAGAAAAGGAGGAATGAGTAGGAAAAGAAGGAGAGCTAACAGGGGAATTAGAGAAAGAAGCAGGTGACTTTGCTGAATCATTTGAAGGGTCAAGTGTAATGACTTCTGGTTCAGTATTGGTAGAAGATTCTGGTGCTATGTTGGAAGGAGGAAAGATATCTGAGACACGGTGACTAGGATTTGAATCAGGGATAACTAAGAATCTGTGTTTAGGATGTTTGAAAGAAAAGTTCCCTTCTTTGAAGACAACATCCCTACTAACCATGAATTTATTAGTATCAATATCATATACTTTATATCCCTTTTTTGTTGGTGCATACCCCATGAAGGCTCCAGGAATAGATTTAGGATTGAATTTATCATGGAAATCAGTCTTTGTGGCATAAGGCACCCCATTATTCTCATGTGATCAAAAGAAGGAGGTTTTTCATGGAACATCTCAAAAGGAGATTTTCCTTGTAGCACAGAACTAGGAAGTCTATTAATGATGTAATTTGTTGTTAGAATGCAACCACCCCAGAATTTTAAAGGTATGTTGGCTTGAAATCTTATGGCTCTTCCTATTTCAAGAAGATGTCTGTGTTTTCTCTCTACAACTTCATTATGTTGTAGAGTGTGCACACAACTCCTTTG